AAGAATATAAACATATGACACTGACCATGCAACTATGAAAATTTTCTTGGAACTGATAATGTCAAACATAAATATTTAGATAGAATATGACAAAACCTACTAATAATTCCTAAACCATGGATTTCAATTATTTTCGTGTGACATCATATAATTAAGTTTTTTTTTTTTGGTTGGCCTAGGCTAATTAAAAATAATTATCTAATTAGCTCTTCTAGACAAAGTCAACATTAGCAATCAGCTAAGCTGAACCAGTCGCTTACATCTATAATTTTAATTATATAAAATAATACCCTCTTTATATTAGAAGTTAGAGGCACTATGTTAACACGAACGATCACGTACTAGGTTAATTTGCATGCTAACAATGTTGACAAGCACTTCAAATTATGTGACATTTCGGTACATATTTAAGGTTGTTGTTGTAATTACATAATTGGCCTTGACGATGAGGGACTAATTAGTTAATGTTCAATTATACTATAAAACGAGAAATCAACGAATCTGTGATCGCATGTGAATAAATTCTTCGATTAAGGTGTCAGATTATTATTTGAATAGAGAGACTCTCGCTGTCATATTAGAATTAAGTGTTAAAGATACATTTGCCGGATTATGAAAAGAAATTTCAAATGAAGGACCGCTAACAAATATAGTTTGCTTTATCTGCTTTATCACAAGATTTCAATAATAACACGAACAGTAGTATTTATCAAGTAACTGATTCCCATAGATAGAAATAAGGCAAATCGGAAACATGACATGACTTTTTGTTTTGACATGTCGGCATTAGTCGTAGTAGCCTGGGAAATTAAAAGGTGCCGATAGCTGGCCTATGGCGTAATTAATCCGTTGCACGGTTCTACCACAAAATCCCGACATCCAAAATCTCGAAACCATAATCCCGACGTGACAATTAATGTTTAATGATTAGTAATCACATTAACAATTATTGTTAGACTTTAAAAGTTAATTGTAACGGCGGTTGATGTCAGTATTATGGCCTGTCGAAATTTTAGATGTCGAGATTTTGTGGTAGAATCCAATTGCACATCGGACAACGAAGTCATTTTATGTTTCTGAGTTGCCTTATTTTATACACATATCTGTACATATTAAACTATTTAAAGAAGAGCGCATTCGTTTCTAGTATCAACAATAGATTTATCAACAAAATTAGAATCAGCATCTCAATTACAACAAAAAGAATTTAACCGCTTACGACAAGAATATCGACAAAATTTAACAACAGTACAACAAAATCAAAGAAGAGAAATAAATAAAATTTAGCATAGAAATTATAGAGCAACAAATTTAATTCAACAAACAAATAGATTTAGAAATATTGCAATATGTAGTTTAGATAATTTTAATCGGTACTCCAATTAATGCTATTTTTGAAACATAACTTTCAATTCTTTCAAAATTCAAGTTAAAATGAAATATGTTCAAAGCATGGTTTATAGTATGCATATTTTATGTCAAGTTTTTGGTTTACTTTTGTAATTTGCCAATTTATATCTTATTCACAATCTTTATAAACTAGTATAGCAAGCTTTATTTTCAGGTGGAATTGTTGCAAATACTTGTTCAAATGAAGTGATATATCTTAGTTTGTCAAAAAAATTAGAAACAACATTTTCATTAGGTTCATGGGACATGTCTGCAGAAATTCCTAGCAGAGAATATTTTACTACATCATATCTTGGTTCTGCCAGTGGATCAAAGATTTTCTTAATCGGAGGATTCTCTACTAACTCAACAGGACGAATCGTAGATTACCCTTCTTCACTGGTATACACATTTTCAAATAGAAATATTGACAATACTATACGTTATAGAAATTGTGCTAATTGGGTAAATATAATTGATGCAAAAACTTTGAAATGGTCTCAGCTGAATGTTGTTAGAAATGTTCCAATTATAGATGCAGACTTATTTACGTCATTAGTTACGGCTTAATTGCGGTTTATTTTATAAACCGATTTTTTATATAGGACGTAACTAGGTGATGTCATAAGTCTGCATCTATAGTTCCAATGCCTCGTGGAGGTTATACTGCTACATTATTAAATAATAATTTCATAATTTATATTGGTGGTTTGAATTGTTAATAATATGGAGTGATCAATAGAAATCAAGCAAATTTTTTATAATAAAAATTTTTAAAACTTTAAACTAAAATAATTTAACAAAAACTTGATCAAATATGATAAAATCATTTTGTAAATTTATTACAATTAATTTAAAAATTTTTTTATCAAATTTGATTAATTTTTTGTTAAGTTATTTGTATTTAAAGTTTTAAAAAAAACTTTATTATAAAAGGTTGCTTGATTTCTATTGACTCATCTCCATCTATCTACCAATATTGATATGAATGAGGTATAGAATTATTTTAATTCAAGCTTGCAATATTTATAAATATCAATTCAAATCATAGTAACTAAATATAAATACAAATATTCGATACAAAATTCTTAACCTGGTTTAAAATGGTATGTATGCTAAATTGTTTTCGAAGTACACTTAGACTTGACTATATCCGAATATTTAGATTTGTTGTTTAGCCTGTAATTTTCATGCAGCAGTACTAAGTAAATAAGTTAAATTTATGGGTGCATCTACTTACTCAACAGCTTACATAATGTTCATCAAGGGTCAGCGTGCATGTAAACAATTTTTGCATTTTTTTAAAAAACTTTGAGCGAAGTTTTCTCGATAACTATCTGACTAAATTCGATATAATTTTTTTGTTTTGATTCTACGAATGCGTAGAATTAAAATAAAAACATTTTCATCGAATTGGGTCAAGTTGCTGTCGAGAAATTTTGCTTAAAGTTTTTAAAAAATTTTAAACATATGATTTACTGATAGATGGGACAGATTCTTCTAAACTTTGAGCGAAGTTTCTTGACATCTACCAGACCGAATTCAATAAAATTAATTTTATGAATATGTATAATTAAAATAAAAAATGTTTCATTGAATTTGGTTAGGTAATTGTCCAAAAAACGTTGCTCAAAGCTTTAAAAATATTCAGAAGCATTTAATTTACTAATATACGGAACAGATTCTAAACTTTGAGTGAAGCTTTCTTGACAACTATCTGACCAAATTCAATGAAAATTTTTATTTTAATTCTACGAATGTGTAAATTAGGAGTAATAAATTTTCATTGAATTTGGTCAGGTAGTTATCAAGAAAATGTTGCTCAAAAGTTTCAAAAAAATTAGAAATACTCACTGATAGATAAAACAAATTCTAAATTTTGAACAACGTTTTCTCGATAACAGCCTGACCAAATTTGATAATTTTTTATTTATTTTAATTTTACAAATGTGCATAATTAAAATAAAAAAATTTCATCCAATTTGGTCTTGTAGGTAATGTTGTTAGACAAAACCTTTTTGCAAAATGACAAAAGACGAACCTACCCCCTCAAATGACAAAACCTCTTGCGAAACTGACAAAACCTGCGAAACCTGCGAAACTTGTAAAATTTGTGAAACCTCTATAAAGACAATTTTCTTATAGATAGCGAAATTTCTGATAAAAGTTAAAACCCTCTATAAAGAATAAAGCCTCCGGTAAAAGATAAAGCCTTAAAGGCTATGTTATTGTTTTGATGTAAAGTTATTATTTTGGGAATAATTTTTGATTAAAAACTTATCATTGTTAAGATGTAAAGCCATTGTTTGGATGCGAAGCCGTTGTTTAGATGTGAAACTATTGTTTAGGCGCAAAGCCATTGTTTTTGTATAATTTTTAATTAAAAACGATGCTATATTTTAGATACAGAATTATAATTTTTAAATAGTTTTGATTAAAAACTATATTATTGATTAGATATAAAGTTATTATTTTTGTATAATCCGCTATAGTTTGAATGTGCTATTATAATAATTTTTAATCAGTATAAAATCAATTAAAGCCACATATTGAATCTTGTAGATGTATAAATCATGGCTGTAAAATTTAATAGCATAGTTAATAATTATTATAAGGTAAATTAATGAATAAATTGATATAATAGTTTTTTTTTTTTATATCCGAGTTTTGTAGACAAAATCTATTAACTATAAGATCATAAAAATTATAAAGTTTTTACTTTTACTAAAAATTAGCCGTTAAGTATCTGATTCAATATTTAATAAGCAGGTAATTAATAAAGAATAAAATTAATACATATGATTTTGGGGTTCTGTTAATTTCACTGACACTCACTTCACCAACATGCCATTCCACATACAATCAATTCACTGACAAGTTAATTATTTCACTGACAGTCATTTCACTGACAAAGTAATTCTGGTCATTGTCAGTTTAAGGTTGATGCAATTTTTAAAACAAATGTATCAGTGAAATAAATTGTCAGTAAAATAATTGTCAGTGAAATAAACTTGTTGATGAATTGATTGTTGATGAATGGCATGTTGGTGAAATGATACAGACCTATTTAAAGTAAATTATATATTTTTATTTTAAAATGAATATACTATAAATATAAATTTTTATATTTAATTTATTGAAAATTTCTAATTTACACCACAGGTGATCATCACCTGTATTATTAATATTTCAAAATTTTGGTTATAAAACCACCTTTTGGACTTTAACAAAAAAATTTCTTGCAAAATTTTACTATAAGCAATGCCTCTGCTTTATCTAAAATTTTATTCTAACCCTTGTTTGATCTATTTATATTGTTGATTTTTAAAAAAAAGTTATTTTGGCTAATATCTCTGCAATCACTGGTTTAATTAAGATAAAACTACTACTATTCGAATTAGCTCATCGAGACAAATCTAAAGATGATAAGATCATCCAAATCCAATCTCAGAAAGCTGAGATCAGACTAAAAATATGATTTGATCAAATATTCTATATATAGATCACATGTGGTACAACCTGATTGGCTAATGATCAACTGTGCAAAATGTTTTATATATAGTATATCTATTACATATCATATTTATAGCATCTACATTATTTATATTATATATTATATATATATTATTTGTCTTATATGTGGTATCTGTATTATATATATTATATATTTTATTAGTACTATTTGTAATATTTGTAGCATAGGTACTAGATATAGACCATTACATTTCTAAAAAATTGTAAAGTATAAAAGCAGCTGATGTATATCTAGAGTTCGATATTGTATCTTCATACACTTTCAATAATAAAATACCTTTTGGATACAAAATCTTAAACAGTTATTAGTATGTATAAGATAATAGTCATGCAACAATTAATATCATGAAATTTGTTTTGTCAGAGCAAATGATTAGCTGACATGTACTATGTAATAGCACGTTTTAGCCAATAATTTGTCTAACAGAACAAATTTTGTAATATTTATCATCATATGATTCAATATTAATGTTATCATGCAATTATGATCATGATTTATGAGTCATGGTTGGCTAACTGAGATTTAATTCTGGATTGTTGTGCTTATATAATAACATATAAAAAATAACATGAAGAAAAAAATCAATGATTATAAGCGTTTGCATGATAACTTCATATACTTTTAATTGTTGTCTCTTTTGTAATTGCAAATTGCTTTAAATCTTCTTTGTTAAGTTTTGTAAAAATGCCATACTAACTTAGTTAAAATACAGTAACTTAGGATATTACACAAAGTATTCACTGGCTACAGTTACTCTAGTTACTTATTATCTTTAAAGAAGTGAATATAGAATAACAGTATGTTGTAAATAGCAAGATTACCCTTTTCAAAAAAGTTATTCCTGCAGTAATTAGTAGTAGGAATTTCTGAAATTTCTAGAATTCTTAGAATTCAGGGAATTCAAAGAAAAATAAAAAAAATTAGAATAGTAGAAAAAATCAGAAAAATAAGAAAAATTAGAAAAGCTAAAAAACTCAGAATTCATGTTATTTTTGTTTATATAAAAATTATTATATAAGCAGAGGTTCTCTCCAAAAATAAAAAATAACTTTGTAAAATTCAATTTGAATAAAGTTTCCAGAAAACCTTCAAAATATAAATAGAAGTATTTATCTTTAATCCATTATACCTTTTGTTAAAAATCATTCAACATTATAGTATTCTTTTGTCTTTGTGACTTTTGTATATCAATTGTTATATTTAGTAAGAAAGAGATATTGTATTAGTAATACAAGTTTTTATATATTAAAATTACCCTTAATTAAGTTTGTAATCACTATTATTGTCTCTAATTTGTAATCTTGTAATACTGTAACCTTGTATCACATTTCTGATTGGTATGTCAAATTGGATATATTAGAAATTATATAACCCAATACTTCATTTTTTGCATGGCTAGAGTACTAGATTATTTTTTTTTTTAATGTTAAAGTAACCTCATGGTTGGTTGCCTTTATTAGTTTATATGCCAAGCAGATCAAAATCAGCTACTACTCATTTGGTACATGGTTTTAAAGAGTACAACTAACCACATATACAATTTTTGATTGCTTATTAAAGTAGTCCGCCTGAAGGTTCTATACTAGATACCATACCTATAATCTAACTAGGAATTACTTATTTAAACCTTCTATACTACTATATTCTTATGAGAAACTAATACCTGCTATAGAAAACATCTTATCTAGAGCTAATTTACTCTTGAGATAAACTTGCTAAAGCTTTCTATACCTACAATCTAGCTAATCTAGACTTTGGTAACTTATGCTAAGTTCGAGAACAAGTACTTGCAAGCTGAAGCTACTACTATTACCTATTCTGCACTTGTAAGGTTCACTCAGACCCCAGTACACACTTTACAGACTATTACTGATTTTAATTTCAACAATCCCAAACTACCAATTCAGATAGCCCAGAAGGGCTATGATCTGCTCTTAGTCCCTATAGTTGGGTTCTTTTCTTCTGGTTATTCTTCTGGCAGCCTGATTGGTAAAGGCATTGCCAAACACTTTGGTCCTATTTAGTTTTGCTAGTTCTATTGATGACGATCCTTTATATAGTACTATCAAAGATTTGTGCTATCTCTCTACTCAGGG